TTTGATGATGCCATGTGAATCGCTAGAAACATGTGAAGTGTATGGCTAACCCAATAACGAAAGTTTCGTAAGGGGACTGGAGCAGGCTACCATGAGACAAAAGATCTTAATATTAAAGAGACAGTATCATCCCGACAAATCTGAAGAAACAGTATCATCCAAAATGAAACATCCTGATTAATTGAAAATTATAATTTTCGAATTTAAAAAAAAAAACTTAAAACCAAAAAAAAAATATTATTATATTCTGATGAACCCTGGTGAATCTCTTAAGAGTTCACTATGTACATGCTCTAATGAAGAAAAAAGGATCTGTATGCCATTGATAAGGATGCTACAAAAACTATACAAACACCGTGAACGTTGAGAAATGTGACTTTCTATTATGTACACTCTTTAACAAGAAGCTACCAGATTTCCTCTACAAAAAAAAAAGTATCTACTACATCACTTTTGGAGATCATAGAAAAAAAAAATCCCCGAAGGATGCATATGCTGTTACATTTGTCACGTATCCATGACCTCTGAAGATCCTAAGGCAGATGAAGGAATTATACAATACAAGGAATACATACATACAATACAACCCAAATGGCTAAAACATGGAGAATCAAGATCAGTAACACTGGCCAGGCTAACTATTTGGCTGCAACTAATACAACTATATAACAACAAATTCAGAAACAGTTAAAACAAGAACATCTAAACACAAATGGATGGAAACCCAAAGGGCCATAACATCACCATAACACACTGGTCTTAGAAGTTTCACATAAAAATGGTAAAAGGTAAGGTTTCTAAGAACTTAAAAAGGCAAAGGTCTGCCAAGTTTCTTTCCACTTTAACGTAACTAAGCTGAGTTGAAGAAGAGTTTTCACCAGTGTGAGACTTCTTTCGCTGACAAGAGTCTGACTTTATCTGAGGTCTTCTTTCTTGATCTTCTTCTTCCATAAGGCTTTAAAGTTAAGCAGGAGTTCTCAAAGTCAATCTACCCCATAACGCTATGAATTTAAGAAGACAACAGAAACCTTAGTCAGCAAACAGAAAAAACGGTGAAAGTATACTCCACAATGATAATTATCAGCTTGAAAAATCGTTTTTCTAAGAGAACACAGTTTTAGACAATGAGACAATAACATGTCCTTGTAGACAGATAACTTTTAGTCAGAAAACGAACCATGAAAAAGATTGGTACGATTTAAGATACATGACGGATGAAAGATACCATTAGATTCAACTACTTACTTTTATCTGATATTTATTCAGTAGTAAGCCGCCTTCTTTTCCCATAATCAGCATCCCTTGATCTTGAGCGATGATTATCCTCCCGAGACAACCTAGATTTGCTGTGTCCTCTGGATGATCGGCCTCTGTTCCATTCATCATCATGCTCAGGTTCGTCCCTGTGTCTACTACGATGATCACCACCATATCTGTCACGTTCTTCTCTATGACGATCCCTCTCTCTGTCCCTTTCTCTGTCACGATCCCTGGAGCGTTCACGCTCCTTATGATGATGTTCCCTCTCACGCTCACGACCGGTTTCTCTATCATCACGATGCCTTCTCTCCGGCAAATCATAACCATGACCAACATCTTTCTCCCTCGGTATGTCCCTTTCATAACCAACATCTTTATCCTCACGATTCCTTCTATCAGATGAACCAGACCATTCCCTTTCTGAAGCTCTATCTTTTTCCTTCACAGGATTCGGACGCGCCCCTCTGTCGTGATTAACCTCTCCATACTGATGATCAGATGCAGCTTCCTCCCCATAACTCGACTCCGCAGCTCTCCCACCACCCAAATCTTCACCACCACCCCATCCTCCACTATTAGGATCCCACATTCCCATATTATGCCCTCCATCAACACCAGCATTAGGCATCATTCCCATTCCATTCATAGGCATCCCTCTTCCAAAAAACGCCGGATTCACGTGAGGTGCCACTCCAGGTAAACCAACTCCTCCTACGGGAGGGAATGAGGACAAAAGCCCAGGAAACGGTGGACCTGGAGCTCCAGGGAATCCTCCATAGCCTCCCATTCTCGCCATCGGTCCACCAAAAGCTTGATCAAACCCTTGCCCCATCATTGATTGAGGATGCATCATATTCATAGGAGGCCCTGTACCCATTCCCTGACCAAAACCACCTCCACCATTACCCATCAAACCTCTTCCACCCATCCCACCAGGCCTATTCCTCATTTGACCACCTGGTCCTCTACCAGCCATTCCTTGAGCATTGCCTCTACCCCAATTACCTCTCCCAAACCCTCTGTTTTCCCCGCCTTGGAAATTCCCGCCAATGGCGTTGTTGTTGTTGTTGTTATTGTTGTTGGTCACCACGGGTTTACTCGGAGGATCAGCAGGCCCTCCTCTCTTAGCTTGTGCAAGTACAGATTGCGCTTGTTGGCTCCTATTCACCTGTGCCTCTCCCATTCTCTTAACTGAATACGGAGAGGCATACTCAACAACACAAGGCCTACCATTAAAGGCATACCCATTCATCCCATCTTTGCAAGCCGTAGCTGCCATAGGATCATAGAACTCCACTTGACAATACCCTTTCGACTTCCCACTAGCTTTCTCATCGAAGAACTTAACTTCCTTCACAGCACCATACTTGCACAACTCTGCCTCGAGTTCAGCATCGGTTGTCCACCAATGCAAATCCCCAACGAAAAGAAAAGCTCCACCGCCTCCACCACCCCCACCTCCCCCGCTAGTAGGAACACCAGGCATTGGGATCATAGCTCCGTTCCCGACCATGCTACCACCAGGTCCAGGAGGGGTCACGCCGTTAACATTACCCATCAAAGGTCTCACCAAATTATCGTTATTTCCCAAGATAGGCGGTGGTGGCAAGAGACCCTGAGAAATGTTATTTCCTCTAGGAGCCTCAACATCATTTTCTCGATTATCAGCTTTCCCTAGCTCAACCCTAAGCCCGCCTCCAGTTCCAGAAACAACTCCACTAGGAATCTGCTGACTAACATCGCTTACCTGAAGCTCTTGAGCTCCATATCCACTAGAAGCCACTACCACGTCAGTACCACTTGCTCCCCCTCCTCTTTCTGCTTCTGCTTCTGATTTAATAGCGACGCTCTCACCCACCAAACCAGGTATCGAGACCTCAGCTTCCGATGTAGCTAAAACTGGCTCAACCCTATCTTCGTCCTCGGTTTTGACCTTCTCCTTCTCCTCGTTTCTTGATCCCGCTTCGTCGTTCTTTCTCATAGACTGAAGAAATCCTTCTCCGACATTAACGTCGTTATAAAGATCCTCATAATCGTCGTCTTCTTCCTCCGCCATAAAACCGTCGTCGGCGACGGCAGAGATCGCCTCGTTTTGATGGAACTGATCCATCTGATCTCTCCCATCTCCCTCATCCATCTTAAACTCTTCCTGATTAAGAATAAAAAAAAGCTCCTTTCTTTCAATCGTATTCTCCAATTAGAATACTGCAAAGCTCACGCTCACTCGAGCATGAACAATCTCAAGAACAAAGAGATTGCAGGATTTTTATCCCCGGAAGGTAGAAACGAAGAAAGGCCTGTCGCTAGAAACCCTAATCCGGGAGATTTGTGAAATTTCTAGGATTTTCTTATTGATTATTCTCTCTTTACAATTAAAACATTTTCTTTTTTCTCGAGAAAAGCTTAAAATGGATTCCAACTAATATCGCTAACGTACACCGTGAACAAAGCGCATTATAAAGCCATTACAAGTGAAGAACACACGTGTGTTACGAGAAAGAACTAAAACAATCCAACACGAGCGTATTTCATGGGCTACGAGCAATACTTTAATCATATAAATGGGCCAGATTTTTAATGGGCTTTCTTGGAGGACAAAAGTGAACTACCTGTCGTTCAGACTTTCGACAAATCTAACAAACGTCACGTCGTCTGATAGTAACCGGTTGCTCTCTCCCGGTTAACGGCTACCTCACTTCCTACAGCCGGTTAACAGACAGGCGCCTCCACCGATTCCAACGGTCGTATATCTCAGTCATCACAATTCACACCGTTTCGCGTTTCTAAAAAATCTCTTTTTTATAAAATCCATTGATCGAAACTTCCGAAAAGTCATTTATCAGAAAACTCAACATCCTGGATTTTGTAATTTTCCCAGAGAACAATACGATGAATCGGTTTATTGTACTTTCTTCATTTGTCTGCTTGATATTTATTTCTGGTAATGTACAAGCCGACAATGCTCCCGTTCAATCGCCGGGATTCTCCGAGAAACAACATCCTCCGATTATCATTCCTCCGATACACTCCCCTGCCAAATCACATCGCGTTTCTTCTCCGTCGAAGTCTCCTACGGTTCCTCGAATCCCAATTTTGCATCCTCCGGCGATCCATAACTCCCCAGCGGCACAAATCCCGACGAAGCCTATTAAGTCTCCGGAGAAAACCCCTGTTTCCTTTCCGACTGTTGCGTCTCCTGTGAAATATCCTGTTACTACGCCGGCGACTTCTCCTGTTACCCCTCCGACGACTGCTTCTCTATTGATATCCCCTGTTTTTACCCCGGCCACTTCCCCTGTTTCATCTGCAAAATCCCCTGTTGTTTCTCCGGGCACTTCCCCTGTTAAATCTCCGACTATTTCGACTCCTTCGAAGTCCCCTGGTCAGCCGACTTCCCCTGTTTCCTCTCGAACCATTGCGATTCCTGTGAAGTCTCCTGTGTTGGCTCCGGGAACTTCCCCTGTTTCATCACCGGCCAAGGAGACTCAATCCAAATCTCCTGTTTTTGCTCCGGCCTCTTCCCCTGTTTCCTCTCGTTCTATTGCGACTCCTTCCAAATCCCCTGTTTCTTCTCCCGCTACTTCCCCTGCTTCCTCGCCTATTACCGCCACCACGACTCCTGCATTTTCTCCGGCGAAAGCCCCTGCTTCCCCTCCGAAGACGATTACAGTGAAGTCTCCTGTTTCTGCTCCGACGACGAGTCCGAGTGCCTCGATAGAATCGCCTACCATTGCTCCAGCGAACCAACCACCGGTTCCAGCCAATGCACCGTATATTGCAGCGACGTCTCCGGTAACGACTCCTGGTATTCCGTCAAGTTCCTCTACTCCAGCTAATGCGCCGGATATATTTCCTTACGGACGCGGTCCGATAAGTAGTTCTGCACCGGCAACGGAAAGTTTGGCGCCGGCGACTGCTGATGCTCCGGGCGGAGATAAGTCTGCTTCCAAATCCATTCAATTCGATGTTTTATGTGCATTGCTGATCTTAGGTGCTACTTTGGTTCTTTAGGAACATTTCTAACATTTTGTCGAGTGTAAAATTTCATGACGACGATATGTAATTTTTTTTCACGTTTCTACATTAATTATTGTATCAACACCCGATAGTTCAACATTTTAAACGTTTCTAGTTTCTACATGTTGATAGTAGATGAATCTATCAAGTTGACAAAAGAAGAATAAATTTGGGATATTATCATGGGACAAGTTAAACAACTCAAATTTGGAATGCCTAAACTTTATAATTAAAATCATTCCGAAATATGCAACAGCATGAAAATGTAGTCGAATAAATCCATGAATCTTCTTCTTCCATCATGAAACTTAGCATTCTGGTCTGAACAATGTAGTCATAAAAAAGTCAACTTTCTTATTTATTTCATCAATACCCCTAGAATTCTCATAGGACTAATAGAAACTTGATAGAAAAAAAGTGCTTAAAACTCTTGATAGCCAACCAACTTTAAAAGGAAAGAAACAGATGACATTTGTTCACATAGGAGATTTACCAGAACTCTCCAAGTCACAAACTTGTCCAAACCTCATGGGATAGTCAGTGAACGGCTTCACGTTGTTGAACATACCGCTCCCTAAACCCCATTGCATTGGCTCCAAATAAGCTGTCCTCTGTACCATCGGAGGATATTGACCATCCGAACAACTCGCGTAAAACATGGCTTGGGCTGCCATCTCCTGCTCTGTCGAGAAGGAAGCCACTTCCCCGGAGTTTAAGGTCAGCTGGTTTAAAAAAGGGAGTAAAGTGAACCCATTATGCTCCAAAGTAGACATAGGAAACAACTGATGCTGCTCAAAACATTGCTGGTTATAACCGAATAAACCAAGTTGATCAGTAGACCAAGGAGTACTGTCTGAATACGTCTGATGATGAGTCCTATTCGCAGCCTCCTGAATCTTGTTTCCTACTGCCACGAAAACCGCATAGAGCTCACTTAAAGAACACTTGTCGACCCTCTTGTCCCATGGACAATACTTCACTTTCTCCACCTTAGTAATTTTACTTTTCTCCAAGCATTCTTGCACTGAGTAAGTTTTGGTGCAGCTGCTCGACGCAGTTTCTCTGTACTTGCTAATGATCTCTCGGACTTCGTTCTCCTTCTCGGGCCATAACTCGGGCTCCATGACCACCTCGTCCCCTGCTCTGCTCGGGCCATACACAATGAGACACGTCTTCACGCCGCAAAGTGTTGAGAACTCTTTGGCTTTCTTATACAAACATAGTTTCCTCTTCCTGTAAGTCGTTATCCTCGTCTTCTCGTTCGTTATCCTCGCCATCTTCACCATCTTCCGACCCATCCAGGTACTGAAAAAAAAAAGTTTATAAGCAAAACAAAAATCTTAAACTTGTCATTTGAAAAGAAAAAATGGATCATGTAGTAACTTAAGGCGTTTGTGGAGGTTGAAGACCCGGGAACAAATAATAATACAGACCGAAGTTTTACCATTATTATGAATAAAAGTCAAACACTATTGATAAAATCAACAAGTGGAAAAAAGTATTTGTGATCACAAACGTTTCTATACACAATCATGTTGATTTTGAGATCATGTAACAACATTTTTTCAAAACTTTCATCTACATTTTAGGTTTGGATAGATAGATAGATAGAAGAGATCGGAGTTATTTTCTTCCTCCGTGTTTATCATTTTCAACACACATATTGAATGGTATATATGTTTCATAAGAATAGACAATGGAGGAGCTAAGCCAACGAGATTAAAGTCCTGATAAAATAACAGCATATATAATCAGAACCCTAAAAACTCTCTGTGCATAATTCCAAATCCAACTACGCCAAACGACATATGATGAAATGGAATTATATGGAAAATCACATATATAAAGTAACTCGCGGATATAAAAAGAAGATAAAAACATACCTTGTCAAACGGTAATAGCTCTACTTTCTGAAGTTTCTTGATTTAACAATGGAGTTCCTCTTTATGTGTTTATATATTACACAGGCAAGAAAATATACATGGGTTATTCTCGAATATTATCATCTACTCTAATATGGAAACAATGCTGATATTTTTTTATTCATTTACAAGGAGTATTAAAGAGGAAGTTGAGTTTAATGACTAAATTAGCCAGTAAATCAGGGAAATCCATATAATCAGTAGTGCATGATCAGGATAAAAAGATTCGTTGGTGATTTTAGCCAGTTGATTGTCCCGAATTTTCCATTTCTGACGTTTATTTCCTCATTCATTATCTTACGTAATTCATTTTTAAACACTTTATTAATGAGATATCCCTAGACCCTAATAGGCAACTTAGAAATGATTATAAGGCATAAGTATCCATTGAAACCAAATCCAAAACCAAAAAGATCCACAAAAGCAGAGCCCACGGTTAAGGTCCATAACGAAAATAGATATCAGAAAACCAGTGGATCGGTTTTGCTTCATTTGTTAGTTCCTTACTGGTTTCTTGCTTCCAACAAGTTCGATTCCCGGAGTCAAATTGGACCGTCTTGAGCGGTATTTGTTTGGTGCCGACGATCCCTAATGACACTTACCCTATACTGAAACATGTACATTCAAGAACATAACAACAAAACTGAAAATGGCTAGAAAGATGTCTGAAAAATGTACATTCACATCCCTCATTTCCTTGTATATCTAAGAGAAAAAACATGTTATAGAAAAGGATTTCTCTTTGTCCAAAAAAAGTTTGTCTACTTGTCCTTACTGTTTTTTTTTTGAAAGTCTATTTGTCCTTACTTGTAAATAATCATTATTATAGGTAGATTAATTAATCCTGAACTCCTAGATAACGTAGCAAGACAATCTGCAATGTTTCCATTGTTCCACAAGTCTATGCAAGACCTAGCATAACGCAAAACAAAGCTGTATATGAACAACTAAGTGAAGATTCGCTTTGGTTCACTAATAAGAACCAAACCATTACCTAAAAACACATCATCTATGCTATAAAATTTGAGGATAAATCAATATGGCCGCCATTGTAACGCAATTTTTCTTTTACTAATTAATAATTTTTGTATTGTATACATTACTTCTTACGACTGACTTAGAGAAATATATGTCCTTGATAGACGCCATAAGTGAAAAGCAAACACCTAATATATTGCTAGCAGAAAAAAAAAGAAGAAATTAGTTAACCGAAAATCTTGTCAATAAATTTTACATTAGAATAAATCAAGTAGAATTTTGCTACTTGATTAAGTAGGAGGAGACTGAAACGTGACATATCGTGGACCCATGAATTAATCTGATCGACCTTATGACAATGAATACGAAAACAATAGGTTTACATAAATATATGTGAGACGTTTTTCGTATAGTAATGAATTATTTATTGTACCAAAAAGCCCTCAAAACACACTAAAATTGGTAAGCAGAGTTGATGATGGGAGCGAGACGGCGAGTAGCATGGGATCGGTTTCTAATGGATAATTTACACAAAGGGACGAGATATTCCCACGTCAGCAAAATAGTAAATTCAATGGATTTTTAATATTGTATAACACTTTTCCATCTAAAGTACAATAGTTTGAGTATATACTACTCAAGTCCTCGTATTTTTTTATATTCTATTATAAAAGTAATAAAAATATTTACACTATTTGTTTCATCATCTCATGTTACACATTGGATACAAAACATTCATTGTTAGCGAGTTTGTAAAATAAACTCTGCTCACATCAGTCATCGACTTGAAGTAATTAGTTAACAAGAAAAACGTTATTTTACTTATGTATGGTATTCTCACTGATTTATTTCATACAATCAAGTATACTCATTTTAGGCACGAGGTATAATAGATGAGTATAAAGCGAAAGTAAAATACTAACGGGGTCAATTATGGAAGCTTTGAAACATATATGGGCAAAAACTAGAAAAGGTAGGCAACAAAAGAAAATAAGAGGACCAAAGAGGAATTTTCTTTTTTTTTTTTGGTCGTCGGACCAAAGAGGAATTATAAAGCTGATAATTTACTTGATTTTAAAAATTTAATAAAAGAAAAGAAAAGGAAATAATATTTTGCGTTTCAAGTACTCCATCTCCGTCTCTTTTCCTCCGCATCTAAACCGATTCTGAGAAATATCTCCGACGAAGGAGAAGGAGAGGAGCACGAAAATGGCGGAGATTGGAGGAATTGGTTGTGGCTGTCGCGGACTTTCCGGCGGTAATTTCTTCCATCCCGGAGGATTTTCTTTGAAATCTTGTTTCCTCGAGCAGAGAACGAGGCGCAATCGGAACTTTCTCCGAAACGTTTCTATGATTCCTCCTTTCAAACGCGGCCGCTTCATCACAAAGTGGCGTTCCGACTCCGGTAATAGGCGAATCTTTAGGTATTACTTCCTCGTTCGCTGCTAAATTCAAGGGAAAATAGTAGCGATTATAACATTTCGTTAGTTCGTGGACGTTTCTTTAGTGAAATCAATTTGGTGAAGGCTAGAGAAGAATTAGATGTTCTTCAAGAAATTTTGGTGAGAAAGAAGTGAGTTCGCTAATCGATGTTTTTGATGATGAACATGATACAGCATGGATGCTCGGGAGAAATCACGATCATTCGTGTTGGTATCATCAAGGCACAAGAAAGTCCCTGTATATGTGATGATGCCAATTGATACATTTGGAATCGATGCTTCTGGGTGCCCAATCATTAAAAGGTCAAGTTTTCTGAATATGTTCTGTACCCGATTCATATTACCTTACATGGTATGAAATATGGGAAATGCCAGACTACTTTTCATTGCTATATAGTTTAGTATCACTTCAGAACAAGAAAAGTAAAGCTCCTTCTTTTGGTTCCTTAATTTTTCATTCAAGTAATGAAGTTTCCATCTGTTCTTGTACCAGGCTCAAGGCTTTAACTGTTTCTCTGAAGGCACTCAAGTTAGCAGGTGTTCATGGAGTCGCAGTTGAGGTTTGGTGGGGGATTGTAGAGCGTTTTTGTCCTCTTGAGTTTAGATGGTCACTGTACGAAGAGCTCTTCAGGCTGATTTCTGAGGCAGGGTTGAAGTTACATGTTTCTCTTTGTTTTCATTCAAATATGCACTTGTTTCGTGGAAAAGGAGGCATCAGTCTTCCACTCTGGATCCGAGAGGTGTGTATTGTTATACTTACAGGTTTGTAGTTATTTGTACGTTGTAGACTTAGCAAAGGCGTTGGTAATTTCTTCTTCCTTTGAACCTTAGAGAATTTAGATTTTTGCTTATGGATTCTTACTGGATAATGTAACGTCTTTGGGAGTGCTATCCTTTGTTCTGTACGATGACATCTGCTTGTTTCTCTAGTCAATAAATGGTTTCACACATCGGCTTATTCTTTTACAATTTCCAGATTGGAGACGTCAATAAGGATATATACTATCGAGATAAAAACGGATTCTCCAATAAGGACTATCTGACACTTGGAGTCGATCAACTTCCTTTGTTCGGTGGTCGCACTGCTGTCCAATGCTATGAGGATTTTATGCTGAGTTTTTCTACAAACTTTGAACCATATTTTGGGAACGTGATTGAAGAAATAAGTATCGGTCTTGGTCCTTCGGGGGAGCTCAGGTACTTCTGATGTAGACTACGAATCATAAAGACAGAATTGCTACAATAGAAGTTTCTTACACGGGATCTCTTGCAGATATCCTGCACATCCTTCTGGAGATGGAAGATGGAATTTCCCTGGAATTGGTGAATTCCAGTGCCATGACAAGTACATGTAAGTGATTATTTATTCAAAAAAAAAATAAAAAATTCCATGTGCGAATCACATTTACCAGATTGTGAGCTATACTACTTGGTTTAGGATGGAAGACTTGATGGCAGTGGCATCCCAAGAAGGCAAACCTCAATGGGGAGGCAGAGATCCTCCAAATGCCGGCTGCTATAATAGTTTTCCATCTGGGGTTCCCTTCTTTGAGGAGGGCCATGATAGTTTTCTCTCTGACTATGGTCGTTTCTTTCTAGTATGTTCTCGTATGATATCATCTTTTGCAACACTATTACAATATCTGCATTTGAATCATCTTGAGTAGTCTTCAGCGCAAGTGGCTAGTAGGTTGGATGATAAATAACACGGTGAACTGCTTTTCATTGTAGGAATGGTATAGTGGGAAGTTGATTTGTCATGCTGATGCTATTCTTGCAAAGGCAGCCGATGTTTTACGGAGACGTCAGGAAGAGGAGAGAAACTCTGTAATGTTGGTTGCAAAAATTGGTGGAATCTATTGGTGGTATAAGACATCTTCACACCCCGCTGAACTAACTGCAGGTTATTACAATACCGCCCTTAGGGATGGTTATGATCCTGTTGCTTCTGTCTTGTCTCGCCATGGTGCAGCTCTGCATATCCCGTACGAGCCTTCTCCTGAAGTTTTCTTTTCCTGTGTACATAATTCATAGAAGCTGCAACTGTTGTTGCTAACGAGATGAATCTTTCATATATTTTCCAGCTGTTTGGATATGGCGGACAGTGAAACACCTGAGAATTATCTTTGCAGCCCTGAAGGATTGCTTAGACAGGTAATTTCTTCCCTAATGTTTGATCTATAGTTCAGTTATGTTCATATGAAGATTTATGTATGTTGCTTGTATTTAGACAAGTCAATGTCAGCGCACTGTTTACTGTCTTTGAGACACTGTTCAAACTGGTCTAGTCTATGATTTCTTGCTGCGCGCTGCAACACTAGTTTCTTCCCATTGAGACAATCAAGCATGCCTTAAGAACATTAACAAATCAACGTTGTTTCTTTTTTCTGCTAGATACACGATGTTTCGAAGAAGAGGACAATACAAGTGACTGGGAGAAACACAAGTGAAAGATTTGATGTGGTGAGAGAATGCACATTATATACAGTAAACGATGAAGTCATAGTTGTGGTTTCTAACTGTTTATATATGGAAATCTGCAACAGATGGGACTAAGGAAAATACGAGAGAACTGTGTGCAACCGAATGGCGACACTGTAAGATCTTTTACATTTTTCCGAATGAATGAGAAGATCTTTAGGGTCGAGAACTGGAACAACTTTGTCCCTTTCGTTAGGCAGATGAGTGCAGATGTGTAAAACAGCGGAACATATTGTAGGTGTGTATTTTCTTTCGTTACAGAATTGATCTTTCCTCACCATATTGCTTTTTCAGATATGTGATGAGGATAAATAATCAAATCAAAATTGTTATATGATGATATCTCTCTCTCTCTCTCTTATATTGTTCTTCATTTGTTCCTTTAAGTTAAGTTCTAGTTTCATGAAAGAGAATAAGACTGCTAAAAACCTTTGAATGTACCAAAAAGTTACATTATGTTTCGATTATCAGAACCAGATCCATTACAGAGAAACTCCAATCACAGCACATGTGTGTAAATACATATATTATTGTTGTTCTTGCAATTTCTCTCTACCAGATGATAGTAAATCAAAGGACTTGCCTATCAGCAGCATCAGCAACAATGGGCAACCTCGGGATCTGACCAAACAAGCAAGCAGAGAATCCATAGATCAAAGAGACAAGCAAGAAGAGGAACACTGTGCTGTCCAAACTCATCACCACATCTAAACCAAGCCCCTCGCTCGGATTGAAGCTCCTCTCGAGCAAATCCGGGAAAATCAAGAGCACGTCGAGCACAATCGCCTGCATCGTGTTGAACCTAACGTACCTGCTGAAATTTTGGTTCCTGACGACGACGAAGTAGAGAGTGAGGAAGATGAGAAAGCCATTGAAAGGGAAGCTCTTGAAGGCCTTGATGGCGGGAAACAAAGGCTGGATGAGAATCTGGAAAGGTGGATATTGCGTGATGATGAATTTACCGTACTGAATCCCATCGAAGAATGGGTAGAAGTAACATACGGCTGAGATTATCCGATCGGATGCGTCGACGGAATCGTCGCCCTTGGATTGGAGGACGAGTGTGGCGGCTCTTTCCCTGGAAAGTCTAGGTTTTGGGAACTGGGGATTAGGGTTTAGAGGGAGAGAAGAACGTCCGGTTAGGGTTAGGGTTCCGGTTTGGAAGAAAGTGAGAGATGGTAATGGAGAAAGAAGATGAGATATTGCCATTGCCTCTCTCTCTGTGTCTGTTTTCACTTCACAGAAACGAAAGAGAGTATGAGGGGATAATAAACTAGACTCCACGCTGTTCGAGAATTTTGACTAAAAACATCGTGTCGTCTTACTACCTTTCTAACGGCATGCGGTCCTTCATTGGAAGAAGCAAACGCCGAAGAAGATGGTGAAACAACAAAATCGGTGCTGTTCAAGGATATGGAGTTTAAACCACACGACGTGTTAAACACACCCTTCAAAACGGCACGTATTTCTTTGAAGTGAAGTAAACAAACTAACAATTAAATAGCCTCTGTTATAGCTTTGTTTTTCTTTTTGTTATTCTAAATATTTTTTTTCCATATAAAAAACCCATCACACCAGTATAAAACGGCGTAATGTCCTGTGTTGGAGTTGGACCCAATTCTTTCAATTTTCACCTAATTTAATTACCTCCGTATTTATTATTTTTAGCGCACTTTAATATAGATTGTCTCTTGCACATATATAAACTGAATAAAAATACCATTTTGTTCATAGTGAAGTATCTAGTTAGTTAACCTCTTGTTAAGACAAATAATGTCAATTGCATGTAAGATCTTCTTGTTTCTCTTAAACGCTTCATCAGCGTTTGCGTTTCCCAAACCGCCAATCGCAAGACAACTATCAACAACATCAGAGACCACATCAAACTCAACAACAACGTCTTCTTGCTCACCAACAGGAAATCCAATCGACGATTGCTGGAGATGCGACCAAAACTGGAAGTCAAACCGCAAAAGCCTCGCGGACTGCGCGGTTGGATTTGGACGCGACTCAATCGGCGGTAGAGCAGGAGAGTACTACACGGTAACAGATTCAGGAGACGACGATCCTCTAAACCCATCTCCAGGTACACTACGGTACGCCGCAACACAAGAACAACCACTATGGATCATATTCGATCGTGACATGGTGATAAAACTTAAAGAAGATGTTCAAGTCACGTCGTATAAAACAATAGACGGGAGAGGATATAACGTGCAAATAGCTTACGGGCCGTGTTTGGCTTTGTATAAAGTAAGTAACGTGATCATAAACAATGTTTATATTCACGATTGTGTTCCGGCGAAACGGTCGTTGGGAGGTTACTCGGATGGAGATGGGATTTCGATATTTGAGTCGAGAGATGTTTGGATTGATCATTGTACGTTAGAGAAATGTTACGATGGGCTTATTGATGCGGTGAGTGGATCGACGGATATAACGATTTCGAATAATTACATGTTGAATCATAATGAGGTCATGCTTTTGGGTCATAGTGATGAGTTTGAAGGTGATCGAGATATGAGGGTTACGATCGCTTTTAACTATTTTGGTCAAGGGCTAGTCCAGAGGATGCCGAGGTAAGTTTTGTTACTAGCATATTTATGTAAATATAGTGATTGTAATTAGTAAATGGAATTATGCATGTGTAGGTGCAGGCATGGATATTTTCACATAGTGAATAACATTTATAGAGAGTGGGAGATGTATGCTATTGGTGGAAGTGCTAATCCAACCATCTTTAGTCAAGGAAATGTTTTCATAGCTTCGGATAATCAATTCACAAAGGAGGTAATGGATGTTTAGTGACGTGTGCATGCATGGTCCACAAATAATAGAGCGTTTCAAGCTAACATTAAATAGAAATACAGTTTAATTCATGATTAAAATTAGACTTTTTAACAATTCAGTTTTTTTTTTTCCCTTTGATTATCAAATCTCTATTGAACTTGTGTGTCTAACAAGACTAGACATTTTCAAACTAAAGCAAACGTATCAGAATCCGAAATGAGAACTTGTTTTAGTTTGATGAGCTTTCCTTGAATTACATAAAACTTTTTCTTTTGTGATATAAAAACCAAACTAAGTCTAAGTGAACACATATATTGGTCGATCTAATATTAGTTTGATTTTCACAAGTTTTTTAGTTTTTTTACCAAATTGATTAGATTCTAGACCGAAATGTTTACCCCCTAATGGTAAAGCTCTATATACGTAGGTTACAAAGCGAGAGAGTGTAGATGGAGACGATGAATGGAAGGAATGGAATTGGAAATCAGAAGGAGATGAAATGCTTAATGGTGCTTTCTTTACACCGTCAGGGAATGAGGATTCTCCGAGCTATGGGAAAATGTCGAGTATGGTAGCTCGACCAGCTTCACTTCTCAAGACCACACACCCATCAGTAGGTGTTCTTAGTTGCCAAATTGATCAACTTTGTTGTTAGCACACAAACATCAGTTTGTCACAAAATCTTATATTGTCCTGTTTTTATTGGTGTCTCTTCTTGCTGTGGTTATTGTTAGAGCATATAGGTTCTGTACTGAATACGATGATCATAGACCCAAACAAAAACAATTGCATAGCTCATTGTCAATTTTCCCAGCGAGTTTCAATGAAAAGTCATTGATAGTTGAAATTCTTGCCAATCTTGCCATTTCCTTTAATTGAGATTAGGTTCAGAATTACAATTCCAATTTTGTTTGTCTTGAAATGGTTTTGAAGTTGTAAATAATTTTGATGTGTAAAAAATCACATTACTTTAGAATCTCAAGTGAAAAAGAACACACAAAAATACTATCTTGTGTTCCCAACACCATTCATTACAATGCCCGGATAGTATGTGCTCAAATATGGAGTATTCAGTATCTTGTGTTCCAATGCAACACCATTCATTACATTTATCAACTAAACAAACACGTGAACAAGAACACACAAATAAAATAAATAAACCACCGACTAATTAACTCGACAACCAAATATCAAATTAAAAAAAAAAACCTCAATAATAGGGGAAATTAAATAAACCTCATTTACTTTCCCTCAAAGTAAGAAAAAGAAAACGAACAAAATTAAACAAAGACGAAGAAGAGAAACAAGAAGTGAACTATAGAAGCCAAGAAGCAAACAAGCAGAGCAAGCTCACCACCAAACCAGCCTTAACTCCTCCGATGATCCTAACCGCACCGGCTTCATCAGCAGTCGCATCATCCGCCTCTCCATCAGGCCCTTCCGCAGGCGAATCCGACTCATCAAAAGAATCATCAGGCGACGGTGCAGCCTTCTTCTTCTTCCCTTTCGCTTTCCCTTTTCCCGGTTTCGGAGAATCCGCAGCATCTCCGTCCTCCGGTGCCGGAGCAGGAGCCGGAGCTTCAACAGCCGATGCCTTAAACAGCTCTTTAGGCAGTAAAACCTTATCGGTGGCATAAATAGCCAATGGCTGCTCGTCGATGATAGTATCAACGATCTGGACAGTGTTGATCCTTGTCTTGAGCGTAACTTTCGCTCCATCGTTCTGTACAGTGAGCTCGAACTTGTTGGCTCCGTCGGTAGCGAGTGTGTTCATGGGACCGTTGTTGGATTTTAGCATCGCCATTGAGTAATACGTCGGGACGGCGAAAAAATCGAGGAAATCTTCTTTCTTTGGAGCTGTCAAGTTCTTGTATTTGGGCAAGAATCCTTTCATGGCGTCATCTCCTGGACAGAACACTGTCATGCCTCCTTCTACACTCTCCTGTTACACACATATGCGCATATGATTCAAAATCCCCATTTGATTAATTCTCTCGATAACTAATTTTTCAACTACAATTTGAAATCTTTTATCTACTCAATTATAGTGGGAAGTGAGAAAAATTAATACTACTTTTTACAGTTAAAAAGATCGCCGTTTTTTATTTTGAATTCTAAGAATTTTAGATTGGTATGTTTCAGATTTTTGAATTGGAGAACTAAATAATAATGTTCCGATAATTGAGGTGATCAAGTCTATATGTTTGTATTTGCTCATTAGTTACCTAACACACACTTTTCAACACCTTTTGACCTTTTTTTTTTTTTTTTCTTTCAAAACCACTGGCTATTGGCTTAACAACCACATGCATTTTTTTTTCTGATTAATTAAGTTCGAATTTAACAACGGAAATTAATAATACTACTAATTTATTGTTACTAACTAGTGTCCACTGCTTTTTGTTTGGTTTACTTACTACATTTATACAGTCACATACTCACATGCATCTATTTCTTGATTATTTATTTTTAGTTGGTGGTAATCAGAAAATTAATAGAGCAGTCAATTTTGTAAAATCAGGTTTTAGTATAATTGATTTCTACATTTATAAAGCGACATGCATCTACTTATTTTTTAATTCAAAAACGGAAAACGACTAATTATTGAAATTATATATTCTCTAATCACGTTGTAATCAAAAACTACTAATCAGGGTTTTAGTAGAGTACCTGGTAGGTTTTGGAAGCTCCAGGGTTAGAGAGAAGAGTCTCGGCGAAAACTTTACATCCATGAGCCGACATTATCCCGGTGAGATTCATCTCCGCCGGAGCCGGAGTCGGAGCCGCCGCAGACTCCGACGGTAAAACTTTACTGATCTGAATAATGGAGATGTTGTAAGGAACTTCTTCGATCGATTTGACGAAGAAGGAAGACAGATCTCCGCCGTCGGGGCCGAATCCGACCTTACCGCCTCTCAGATCCGTAATATTGACGAATCCGGTCATTCCTTGAGCAGCTCCGGTGGCTTGGAAGAGAGTGGCGGCGAGGGCGGAGCCGTCGCGGATCTGGTGGAGTTTTTTGGCGCCGAAGTAATCGAGGAGGACGTGGAGGGAGAGGATGTTTTTGAGGGTGGTGATCGTGTAGCCTTTTGAGGTTAAGGCGGACATGGCGGCGTTATCGACGGCGCAGACGGTTACGGTTGTTCTCCGGTTGATTTCGTCGGCGAGGTGAGTTTGGGTTAGGAAATGGTTGAAGGAGGAGAAGGAAGGGTGGTTTGCTAGGAGGCGCGTGACGTTGTGCGCGTGGGATTTGACGGTGAGGAGGAGGAGGATAGGGAGAATGTAGGTGATGATTACTTCTCTCATCTTCTTCGTCATTTTTGTTACTGTTGAGAGAGAGAGAGAGAGAGAGTGATGAGTGGAATTTGGGGATTTTTTCAGAGAGTGAGCTTCTGAGCTTAAACTAAAGGGGAAAACGAAGATGGTGTTTTACTTAAATGGTCCTGGATGGTAAGTGAAATTACGATTGTACCATTGAGTATTTATTTAATTCATTTCATTTCGACATTATTTCAATATTTATTGTGAATTTAAGCATATGGGCTTGTAATAAAAATTATAAATGCGGACAACGCATTTTGAAGCCTTACAACAGTCTTAATAACATTAATTAATTGGTGGGAGAAGGGAGATTGCCCCAACTTATCTAATACTAGTAGACGAGTAGTGTTTAAATGTGACATTTAATTTGGCTAACAATATTATATGATTTTTTTTTCTCCTTTGTTGAGATGTTTCTAGTGGTTCACAACGATCATGTGAATTAAGATGGTGTGTTGTTACTTGTAAGTGTTGCTGAAAATAGAAATATGTACCCTTTCGGACTAAGAAACATGTCACGTGGGAAGAGGATCTCTTCTTCATAAATTAAGGCATCAGAAACTCATTACTCTCTCAGTAGTCAGTACTAATAAATATTCAGCCCATTTTACAAGCATAGAATCTTCTTCTTCGTTTAATTTCTTTAATTGATTAATAGTAAGAATCCTAAAATATTATAGTTTCACGTAATGTTGTAAAGAAACATATTATTTTGATCCTTAAAAAAAGTTTTTGATTAGACGGAATCTGAGTGTTTGGCTGCAGCCAGGTGACTCGTTACCAGTGTCGGTGACAAAGCAAGCGCATGAATGGAATGCGTGTTTTCGGTTACGGTCGGCGAAAACCGGAGATGAGGTATTGATTTATTAGACATGCGACGTGGATGGTTGAGATCTGTTTTCAGATTCTCCACCGACAATCGGTCGGTCCGTGTAACTAGCTGAATAAACTGATCGTAAATCATAGTAGTTATCTGAAAATCTGACGCAACGGTTTGTTGTCCATAGTCTCACTTGTGTGATGCGATGGTAGTACTAGTTTGTTTTTTGTTTATTTCTTTGTGATGATACGGTAAAGCTATGGGACAACACAAAAGAAGATGAGAGACGATGTTACATTCACGTTAACATACTTTGTGAACAGTTTGGCCGACACAAAATGACTCGAACCTTGTCCCACTAACTGTGTCAGTTTTGTAAGTTATCTTTTGGTAATGATTCTAATTTCTAAATGAACAAGCTGATAATACTTTATCATGAAATAATTTTCAGTTGATTTATTTTCAAATAAAATACTGAAAGTTACTCAAAATTACCACCCAAAAACAATTTTGTTGTTCTTAAACCATCACTTTCTAAAATATCATAAACTACAAGGTCATTGGTGGAATAGTTTTTTTTTGTACTAAACAGAGAACATAAACTAGAAGACTTAATAATAATCATCAAATTTTAAACATTAACACATTGAAACAACACAACGATTCTACTGGAAATAAACCTCAAACCAAACCGATTCAACACTCAAGAAATCCCAAAATAGAACAAATTGGACATGTGATAGAGGAAGCAGAGAGAGAGCATCGAAACCTGCTTCCAAAAACCCTAATATCATCATCCCTCTCTCGGATTACCCGGTCTTGACATGCGTAGAATAGCCATAGGGAAGTTGAAATCCGGCTTCTTGATCTCCCTCAAATTCCTCAAGGTCGAGGTACTCGTGGTTATCACATCGCTCGTCAAGGATATACACCCGTATAAGTCCATGTACTCTAGATCCAGACACCCTTCACAAACCGAGGCAAGACCCTTAGCGGTCAATGTGGTGTATCGAAACTCCAGGTGCTTGAGCTGAGGCATGTGTCTCCCAATAATCTCAGCCTCCACATTTGCGTTTTTAGGATAAGAAGCCAGATAGTCGAGCGGAGCGACAATTACAGGCCTGAGTGGATTTAGCCGAGGATATAGATTCCGCTTGAGAATGTCTAGTTTCTGGCAGTTCCTCCCCAACATTATCAGAGACTCGTGAGATATACCATAAGAGTAGCTCATATCTAGCACCCTAAGGTTTGGACAGTTTGAAGCTATGCTTATCATCGAAGCATCTGTAACATTTGGACAGCTCTTAATCCAGAGTACCTCCAGGTTAGGGCACCTGAAACTAGAGCATGTATGAATCATGAACGAAGAGATCACTTAATTTAGCAACAGACAATATAATTCGTTTAAAATAAACGTCATAAGACTGTACATTTTCATTCATTTTCTGAACAACACCATCAAAAAACTCAGCAAGCTAAATTACTACAAAGTTTCAGATTCTATACTACGATTAACCTCCATGGATTCAAGCAAAGCAAACAGTGATAACGTACCTCTCAGCAGCGTAAGATAGAGAGTGATCCGTACAGTGTCTGACCCGAATCTCTGTGAGGCCGCCTTGGCTCTGATCAACTACTGATCGGAGCAAGGAATCGACTTTATCCTCAAATTCTGGAATCCACCAGTTGATCGACTCGGGGAACGACAGAAACCGAGTTTCGAGATCGAAGGTTGTGTTGAATGACGGGTCTTGGCATGCGTTCATCCAGGTCTTACAGACCAACATCGGTCCGATCCATCTTTGTTCCTGGCTCAGCCGTGAGAAGATGTCAATGAGACACTCTCGAGTCAACTCAGCCCAATTAATGCTGAGTACCGATTCCATCTCGAGCCTTCTTTCTCCATCGTCGTTGACTTCCATTAGATAGAGAGAGCTTTTGGTCGCTTTGAATAATGAGTACTGAGTAGTCAGTCTTCAGAGCCAAACGTATCTCTATTTACGGAGTTACCAAAACGACACCGATTTAAGCGGCATGAATTGTTCAAATTTATAATACTTTCATAAACGGCTAAAATATCATTTAGAATCGGAACACATATCATAAACCACCAATTCAATGATCCTTCGTATCTCATTGTTCCTGAGATCATGTGTCTTATCATTGGCAACAAACACATGGACTTCTTCTCCTTCTTCTCCTTTGACCTGAATCCAACTACATCCTGGCTTTTTCTTCAATCCTTTAACTCTCATCATTTCTCTCATCTTCACAACTTCATCCCAACTTCCTTCAACTGCATACGCATTCGATACCGTCACGTAGTTCCCGGAGTTTTCAGGTTCTGATTCTAACAAATGTCTTGATAAGTAGTCCATAAGCTCAGTCTTGCGTTGCTTGCTGCAAGTAGCTAACAAAGATTGGATCATTCTTGCGTCTGTCTTGTATGGCATTTCCTCGATTAACCTCAAGGCCTTCTCTGTTTCTCCAGCTGATGCAAGAAGATCTACCATTAGTCCATAATGTTCCAAGCATGGTTTCATGCCATGTTTTGAAATTATCTCTGAGAAAATCTCGATAGCTTGGTTAATATCCCCGGCGTGGTTACAACCAGCTAAGAGGCTTGTGAATGTTATGTCGTCTGGTTTAATGCCCATATCTTCCAAGCTTCTGTATAGAGTGATTGCTTCTTTCACGTTACCATATACTGCATACCCCGAGATCATGGCATTGTACAGAGGCAACTCGCTGTATAACTTACTCCTAAATACCTTCTCTGCTTTGTTTATATCTCCACATTTAGCATACATGTCAACCAAAGAAGTTTCAATCGCAACTGAAGAGGAATGTTGCTGGTTTCTTATGATGTATCCGTGTATTGATTTTCCGAAATGCAATGATGCTAGATTTGCGCAAGCAGAGAGTGCGACGGTGATGCTAAAGACATTTGGCCTCAATCCGGATTCTTGCATCTTTCTGAGAAAATGAATTGCCTCCTCACTGCAACCATTTTGTACCAAACCATTCATCATAGTAGTCCAGGAGACTAGATTTGGAGATATGCCTGAGGATTGCATCTGCAAGAACATTTCCTTGGCCTCATTTACTTGACCATTCCTGAGAAGACTCAGAATGATCAAATTCCATGTTATCACATTTGGTGGTACACTTTCTAGCTGCATCTCATAAAACAATCTCAAAGCCTCCCCGCTAAGACCAGACTCTGCATAGGCTGCAAGTAACGTATTCCACAGTATCAAGTCCTTTTCTACTGTGGAATCAAACACTTTCTTAGCATCAACAATGCTGCCACACTTGGCATACATATCCACCGAAGTACTGGCTAAAACGATATCAGATTCAAGACTGTGTCTGATGCAATAACACTGCACCTCTTTACCGAGTTTTGAGTTCTGAGTTTTGGCAGCTGCCGACATTAAGGTCGATAAAGTGACGCAGTCGAATTTCAGATTCTCTAGTCTCATCAATCGGCACATGCGGATAGCATCTTCAACTAGCCCTTGTTGAACATACCCGGAGATAAGCAGATTCCATGTTACCACATCTTTTTCGATCATTCGATCAAAAATCATCTCAGCATACTCGATCAAACCAACTTTGCAATAGAAGTTCAAGATTGATGTTCCGAGTATATTATCCAGCTCTAAGCCATTAACAATGGCAATGGCATGAGACTGCTTCCCTTCTTCAACCCCACCCATATTAGCGGAAGCAGATAAGCAAGTTGAGACAGTGACACGGGTTGGCTCAATACCTTCTTTCCTCATATCAGACAAAAGCCGAATCGCTTCCTCGTTCATACCATTTTGGACATAACCCACCATCAATGCATTCCAAGCAACCACATTTCTCTGAGGAATTTCATCGAACACCTTCCTCGCTTCATCCAAAACGCCGCATTTACCGTACATATCAGCCAAACTACTAGCCACAAACACGCAATCATGAAGACCAGCTTTCGCCACATACCCATGAACCCCTCTCCCAAAGCGACTCCACTGCAACGCACCGCACGCTTTACAAACATTCGGAACCACGAAATTATCTGGAAAAATCCCGTTTTCAAGCATCTCAACGAAACCCATTAAGGCTCCTTCAACAAGTCCAATCCTGCATTTCACACCGATAATGGCTGCCCAAGAGAAAACATTCCGAATCCTTAATTTCGAGAAAAGAACCTCAGCAGCTTCCAGAGCATCGCATTTCGCGTAGAATATAACCAATTTGGTCTCGATGTACTCGTTCCTGGCGTAGAAATCGCCGCTCTTCAAAATCCGAGCATGGATTTGCTGCCCGGTGTGAAAGTCTCTCTCGTAAACGCATCCCTGGAGGATTTCACCGTATATCTCGGGACCAATCCGTAGGTTTCTGAAATCCATCTCCGTAACCAAGCTCAGAGCTTCTCTGATCTCACCGTTCTTACATAGAGACGAAACGCTGTGAAAGTAAGATGTGGAGGAAGGACTACGAGCTTGATCATCGTGATAATTAGAAGGTCTTGTTGATCCCGAGTATGGAAGTTTAATCGGGATGGTGTTGAAAGGAAGAGAAGCCATTCATGCCTGATGCCTCTGATAACGTCTGAAGACTGAAGATAACAGAGTAGAGTGATGATGATGATTCCTTAATTTCATAGTCCACGTAAGTAATTATTTATTATCTCACGATTTTATCCCATGAAGGATCATCACCGTTGGATTAGTCTTGATGGATTTCGCCTCGTCAACCCAAAATGACGTGGACGGTTGGGATCTGTTACAATACAATCCCAATTTTGTGAGTTTGCGATTCTTATGGGTCCCAGTCGGTTTTCGATTGTATCTCGGTTAAGTTTTTTGGTTGGCTTTTAGATTCTTGAATCTATGAAATAGTAAAACTATCGTTTGATTAGTTTGTTTGAACAAAAAAATGCGATTTCAATTATTTTGGCTTTGATTATAGTTTCTTCGATGTAAAAAAAGTTCAAAACAACATATACATGTGTGGTTTTCTCTTTTTTGATTTACAAATCAAAATTTCGGTTCGAACTAAACCGAATTGAGTATGGCAAAGATGAGAGTATGCACTATATTAGTTTTTTATTCGAATTTACTTCGAAAATGTACAAAACAAAAAATTTGAGATAATAACAGAAGGTGGCTTTTGAGTTTTGATGGAGCTAATATTTATCTAACCCTATATTGCATGCCCTAGAAGAAGACAACAAAAGCACAAGATAGCACAAGCATCAAAACATAAACCAGCACGGAAGAAGAATAATAGTAAGCCACAGCTGCTCCGGTTTGGCCGCCTCTAGCTCCTCCTCCTCCTTGGCCGCCACCAGTTTCTCCTCCGCCGAGAGTACCGTAAGGATAAGGAGGAGTATAATAGTAAGGATACGGAGGAGGATAAGACGTTGAAGGTGGTGGTTGGTTGCAACACCCTGTCGTCGGAACTGGAGGGCAGTGAGACTGCGAACGCGGCGGTGAGGGTGGTGATGAAGACTGCGAAGGCGGTGGAGGAGGATTACCGTATGGAGAGTAGCCTGAAGATGAGGAAGGCGGTTGAGGCGGTTGGTTACATGGGTAAGGAGTGCAAAGACCAGCGTTTGAATCCGAAGCTGCGTTTAGATTGGCAAAGTTGAGAAGTGAGAAGTAAAAGGTGATTAGAGGAATAGAGACAGAAGCTTGAAGAGACAACATGATGACTTGGAGAAGATGAGCTTGGTCTTTGGTTTTGCTAGATATGAGAATAGAGATATGATTGAGACTTATAATAACAAAAAGAGATGATTTTTTTTTCCCCGTGTTTCGTATTATCTGCCGCATGGCATAACACATGTCGTAAGTGTTAGAGAATTTCTGAAGAAAACGTTTGCGTCTTTTAATGGATGTCGACAAAATATTTTCATGTAATGACAAATGAAAAACGGATTTTTTATTACTGTGGGATATATATAGCGGTTCAAAACTCATTAGAAGAAGAAGACGTGTGTTATTGGTAACATGAGTTTCATGATGAGTTTGAAAAGTTTGAATCTTTTGTGTTGGAAAAGATGAAGAACTATGCATTGTTCAAGTAATTAATCAATAAAGAAGACCTAACTTTAAGTTGAAGAAATTAAGCGCTTATTGTTTTTCTTTCCTTTGTAGACAAACTTGGGTTTAACCACCTTAACCGGAGTCTACCACGACTACTAACATGATCAAAATTGAGGCAAATTAAAGAGGCAATTTTGATACAAATATAATCAAAATAATATTACGTCTATAATGATTTTAATAAAAACGCAATATGCAGTACTCATGTAAGATTATGTTAAACTTCCTATTCCTTCATGCTGTTTTTAAGCTTGAAGATGAGATGCAGAAGTTCCACTTCGCTTAGCGTGATAACGATTTGTGTTTAGTTTGATCTTGATCCGGACCTCGGGAGACCCATTATTAACTTGAAACACAAGTGTCGTATTACAGTAATTGATATCTAAGAGACAATTTATCTCTGACATGAATTTCTTGTTCTATATGAAAAAAAAACTGATGTTAATCAAATTTATATCTTCGACAAAAATATCAATTGTTACTATAGAAGTAAATAATCATGGTAGTTGGGTACAACTTTTTTTTTCATTCGTACAGATCTTTACTAGATTTTTTTTTTAATTTGTTAATTGGTACAGATCTGTAATTTATATATTAAAATCATTAAAATAACAAAAAAATTTACATGCACATGAAAAAAAAATTCAATAATAGAAAGTCAATATGTTCACAGATTAACATCATGACATGCATCAAATGGCTAGAAAGAAACTTCTTCCCATCATCTCATTTACTAAATGTGTTGAAAAATGCCCACCAATAAATGGGTTAAACTGGATCAGTCTATCATCATCCTAGTTTGACATTTTAAACAAGTAGGGATAAAAACAGTTATACAGTGATAGTATATTGCATATCGCTTGTAACGAATTTATTGTGACCAGATTTCAAACCAAGGCGACTTGTAATATGTACCAAACTGAATTCAATCTGGTTTTGACCGGTGAGTTTCAAAGCGGCTCGGTAAAACCAGAATTTAACCTGCCTAATAAACTCTGGTATAAGCATACATCAGAGCGCCAACATTGATCAGTCTAATCCGGAAAAACCTATAATGATTTCTTCTTTTACAAATTATATCTTTGTACAACCCATCTTATCAAATGGGTTCAATCTTCAATGAGCTGAAAGTGAAGTAAAATAACAAAGGACAAAAAAATTCATAAGGTCAGCTCAGCCGGTTAGATGAGTTTTGACATTTACAATGATAAATTAAAGGATCCATATTTGAGCTTTCAACTATACATGGAAGGATGATTTACGATTGTAAACTCTCTATGAGTATTATCAAAGTCTAGTTATTGGATCAAAGAGTATAAATTAAAGATCCATAAGTTAATGATTATATGAAAAAGAGAAAAAGTAGTAAAAAGTTGATTATCAAAGCAAATAAAAAATTGGTGAAATGAAAGAAAAAACTGTAATGATAACATCCACTTAATTAGCAAGGCTGCAATCTTAGTTAGATCAGATCTTGTGTTTAGCTCATTGAAAATAAATCTGATAACAACTATAAAATTCCATATAAATAAGTATTAAGTCCAAGATACCACTTTTTTTCTTTTAAATATCACAAACATAAAATTTATGGAGGGTTAGCAAAGTCTAGTATCTGACAAAACAAAATTAATAAAGAATTTTTTGGTAATTCTTCCTAACTTTCATTATGGATTTTGATGGAAATCTAATAAGAAAATACAATAAAATATAGTATTTTGACAATTGTCCAAAAAATTTGTATTAATATATATTTTTTAGTTTTTTTAAAACGAAATATTTTTTATTCTTCTTAAACTCACTGTCAAAGTCTTTAAGAGATCCCTCTGCTTTTTATACATCGAGAGGCAGGGAAGGTGTTCTTGTCGCAAAAAGAGAAAATCTTTCTAGAAACCAAATGTCTTTAGGTTACGCAGAGAAATTATCCTTCATCGAAGATGTTGGTCAAGTTGGCATGGCCGAATTCTTCGACCCATCTCATGTTCTACAATGCAAGGTCTCTCTCGGGTTTCTATTCTTGTTCCCTTCTCCTCCTGGGTTTTCGAGGGTTTTATCGATTTTTTTTTTCTTCTCCAGATTCTATGTAATTTCACGTTGCGTGAATGTTGTTTTCGGGATTGATCGTATAGCATCTCAGATTTTGGTTTCGGAACAGTTGATCTTCTGTATGTTCTGTCCTAGACTCCTAGTGTTTGGTTGGGATCGTATTTACGCCTTTACGCCTTTATCTTCTTGTTTTTGATAATCGTGAGGGTCATTGAAGAGTACTTTTGCTTCATATCACATGGTTTAGGCTTTACAGTACCTGTTTATTTGGACTTGCATTGTGTTAATTAAAGTATTGAAATTTGGTTAAAATGTCATTGATTTATGTTAAAGACCAAAATATGAGAATAGGATCTGTTTGCTTGCTCTTGCTTCAAAGTTGGTGTTTTTATTGTCTTTTTCACTGTTGTGCTAACTTTGGTGTTTGTCTGACTTTGTTTTGGTAACTGCAGATCGAAGAACTTGCTAAGATGATTCAAAAGGTTTGGTTCTGTCGATTCTTTCATATTCTTATTGGTCCTTTTTTGCATATATATTCAGTATATTCAAGAAGCTGGTTTCTGTTTGCAGAGTAAGCATCTAGTGGCCTTTACAGGCGCAGGCATCTCAACTTCTTGTGGTATACCTGATTTCCGAGGCCCCAAAGGAATTTGGACGTTGCAGGTCATTTCTGTTTTCTTTGACTATTTTGGCTCAAGTGGTTTGATTTTGACTTTTGTCATTGATTGGCCTGTTTGTTGGCTTGTTAACATCATTGCTTTGACTTGACTTGATTTCCTTGGATTGTATATTTTCGAAGTTCATCTTCAGTAACTTAACAGTTGTGATCCATGTTTATTGGGTTTCAGCGTGAGGGGAAAGATTTACCAAAAGCATCTCTGCCATTTCATCGTGCAATGCCGAGCATGACCCATATGGCTTTGGTTGAATTAGAGAGAGCTGGCATTTTGAAATTTGTCATCAGTCAGGTTGTCTTTGCCATCTATTCTTCTTCCTCTTCTCTTATAGATTAGTTTTCGCTTTATAGGATCTTGTCTCCTTGTTTACATCTCTAGTGTTCACTGTGCATGCTGCTTCATGTGTTATTAGAATGTGGATGGCTTACATCTTCGATCTGGAATTCCAAGAGAGAAGCTTTCTGAGCTGCATGGAGACTCTTTTATGGAGATGTGCCCATCATGTGGAGCAGAGTAAGGCAGATACATATGTTATTCCTTTTGATCTGAGCTGTCATTATTTAATCCCTATGGTCATTGGACCAGAGATGGTAACAGCCTCTCTGAACTCTTGAAGGTACCTGCGTGATTTCGAGGTGGAAACTATTGGATTGAAAGAGACATCAAGAAAATGCTCTAATGAAAAATGTGGAGCTAAACTTAAAGATACGGTCTTGGATTGGGAGGTGAATTTTCTCTTCTCTTATAATACAAAATGTTTGTCCTGAACCTGTTTTACTTTTAAGTAGGCAAAGATGAATCTCTTTGTTTCTCTTATGCGTCTTTCTTTTGTATGGCAGGATGCTTTGCCTCCAAAAGAGATTGATCCTGCAGAGAAACACTGCAAAATGGCTGATCTTGTACTCTGTTTGGGTACTAGGTAATTAATGACTCATAAGAACTCTCATTTTAAAAATCTTTTTAACACTCTCGATCATTTATGCCAAGTAACTAAGCTCCCTAATCTGGATTATCTTGCGTTTTGCTTCTTTCATGATCCTTACTCCTTTTTGCAGTTTGCAGATAACTCCTGCTTGCAACTTGCCTCTCAAATGTCTCAGGGGTGGGGGAAAGATCGTGATCGTTAATCTTCAGGTAAATCATCTCTTTTGCTCATCTGCACGAGCTCTTTATACGCGTCATATAAATAAATGATCTTATGAATTTTATGGGTTCTCTTTGGACAGTGTTTATTATAAGCCTTGATATTTTCTTTGGAATGTATATGGAAGAATGTGTTTTACGGACTGTGTAGCTTTTCATCGGAAATTGTTCACTGATTATATTTGTCGTTGCAGAAAACCCCAAAGGACAAGAAAGCAAACGTAGTGATTCACGGTTTTGTTGATAAGGTAAGATTTTCATCATTTTATATATATAGAGTTTCTGAAACTGTTGCCAAAACCTAAAGGATGTATAGCAGATTACCTTCAGGACATTGCCCAAATTACGGTCTTATAGATTTTCTTTCCTTCATTATTCTTCTGATGTGCAGGTGGTTGCAGGGGTCATGGAAGCTCTCAACATGAAGATCCCTCCATATGTCAGAATAGATCTTTTCCAGATAATCCTGACTCAATCCTTAAGCAGAGGTAGCTAGTAGCTGCTTATGAAATTTGTTCCTGAAAACTTTACTGTGATTCGCTTCATAGTTTTCATTCGCATGCTTTCATTTCTGTTACAGATCAGAGGTACATTAACTGGACATTGCGTGTTGCGAGTGTCCATGGAATGACTTCTCAGTTACCGTTTGTCGATTCAGTAGAGGTAATACCTCGAAAATCTACTATATCTCCTAAACCACACATCGAAATCAGACTGTGTGGACGTTTCTAATCTTTTTCAGTTGCAAACCAGATTTCTTTCTCAGATAACCAGAAGTACAAAGAAACAGTTCTTGATAAGCAGCCTTTTCTTGTGAAAAGGTAACAAAACACCTTTCTTAAGACTCAGTTTCTTGACTTATTTCTCATTATAATATATATCTTCTTTAATATCTTTCATACAGGAGGACATCACGAACCGAAACATTTGATATATTCTTGACAGTTAACTACAGTGGCGGTTGTGATTGCCTCTCCACCAAACTTAACATTCCCTTTGAATTCGAGGTTGGTTACTATCGATAAAGCTCTTTGTTATCTTGACTTTGTGAGCATTTTTCTCACAACATTCTCAAAAAACACTTATGTAGGTTTCAACAGAAGAGCATGGAGAGATTATTGACAAGGAGGCTGTGCTACGAAGCCTGAGAGAAAGAGCGGTTGAAGAATCCAGTTGTGGTCAAAGCGGTGTGGTTGAGAGAAGAGTGGTTTGTGAACCGAGAAGTGAAGCCGTTGTGTATGCGACTGTGACCAATCTCAGGACTTTCATCTGTCAACAATCTCTGTTTGCTAATGGAGACCTCAAATGGAAGCTGGAAGGTTCTGGAACCTCCCGTAAGCGTTCAAGAACCGGGAAGCGAAAATCGAGGGCATAGGAAGAAGGAACAAAGAAAGCTCTCTTCTTGTATATAGAGACAACCACTAGTCTAACTGAGAAATGGGGAATATGGAAGTTACCCTCGGTTTGAGGGCCGAGTGAATTTTGTGTTTTTTTTACCACACTCGGTTCTTTTTTAACCAAAGATAACCAATATCTTAGGGAGAATATTGGTCCGGTTTGGTTCAGTATCGGTTAAACTTTGGTAGTAGCTAATGTAACTTTAACCTGTTCGGTTTGCATTCGATTGATCGGATGTTTAATATTATATAAGCTGAATACAAGATGATCCAAAATGTTTAAACTTGTTTGTATGTGATATGATCGTGACCAGCTGCTTAGAGGAGGAGGAGCCAGAGGTAGCTGGTATGAGAGCTAAAGAGATGGATAAGGAGGCTCACACACTCATGGCTGCAAAGGACATCGATCAACTGGAGGCTGGAGCTCACATTTTCAACATCTCTATCTTGAAGAATGAAGAACCTAGTAACAATGACTAGGTAACTTAGGTGATGATTCTGTACTCTTTTCCTTGGTGAGGATTTTGGAAGGCAAGAAGGTTATTCTCCAAAGTTTTTAACGAGACAGAAATCATTGTTATGTCGAGTTACTTAGAAGTTGTTACTAATGGGTAATAATGTGCAAAGTCACAATGACTTGTGCACTAGTTGTTTTAGGCGCACCACTTAGGATTTAGAAGGGACGCCTCGCTGTTTTAGTTTTAAATTAAACTTCTTGTTGTTTTTATTTCAAACTCCATGTAGTTTTGTTATTAGGGTTGCGATTTTCCCTCTTAGTCTATAAAAAGAGAAAATCACCTAAGTCATATTCAGTGAAGAATTTTGATCAAACTTTTAACGTGTTCTTCTCTCTTTTTGATTTCTGAGAACTAAAAACTCTGAAATTCGAATCTCTTAAAAACTAATCAGTTTACAAGAGATTCTACTATCTCTCAATTCCATCGATATCATCTCATCATCACCACACCATCAATCGATCATCTCATCATCACCACACCATCAATCGATCATCTCATCATCACCACACCATCAATCGATCATCTCACCATCACCAACCATCGATCCGAACCCTGCACCCTCCATATCGCCGTATCTGTTGCCTTTTGCTTCAGAGTCGAAAACCTAGGATCATACCACGTGGTATCAGAGCCAACTCTGAACCAAAGGCTGAGCGAAACTCTAACCCTAATCTCCGTGCTTTGAATTTTCGTCTCTGTGTTATTAGGGTTAGCGAGTTCTGTGACTGTGTGCATCGATTTGATTCCTTTTGTTTCATATTAGCGAGTTCTCTTATCATCGCATCGTTCTCTCTTGTATTGCGTCTCGGATCGATCGCTGTTAGGATAGATCGTGTTCGTCGCAAGTGTATTTCTTGTCAAGTTTGTTTAGTTTCGAGTCTGAGAATCGTTGTTAGGAGTCTGCGCGATTTCGTTAGGTTTGATAGGGTTTCGTGATCTCGTAACTAGCTTGTTAGTGTTTTAGGGATCGTTAGTTTTCGATATTTTTTTTGTTAGGCTTCTTGTTCATCGTTTCTCGTTTAGGCTTGTTAGGAAAATCTTTTTTCGTGATTTTTTCGTAAATTTTTGTGAATTTCCGTTTAGTTTTTTTTTTAAAAAAAAAAAAAAAAAAAGAGTACAAATTTTCTTTTACGTGGAGTTCTAGTTCGATCATGCTGCTGTTTTTGTGATTTCGTCTAGAACAAGTTACTGCGAGTCTTTTAATTTTTTTTTCAGGTAAATGGAGCTTTCGGCTGAGGCGATGGAAGCTCTGTACCGAGCAATGTCTCAACAAATTAAGGAAGCGAATCAAGCCATAGCAACCCAGCTCACACAACAAATCGAACAACTCAATGACAAGTTCGAGACAAAGATGAATGATCTGCTCAAAGACCTCAGTGCAAGTGGAGAAGAGTCGTCTCAAACTCCAACTCCGTCGGAAGCAATGCGTCTAGCTAAGGGTAAAGGGCACATAGGATCTTCCCGGAAACTCCCATGCCACCCAACACCTTCCGAAACCAGGACTAAAGCTAAGTCCAGTCGAAGCCAAATTGGGGGCAGAGAGACTACGTTTAATCCGAGAAGGAATCCTGCTGGTGTCAGAACGAGATGGCCCCAGGGTAGATCGTCAGCACCGCAGAGAGGAATATATTGCTGGGCATCGAGTTACCCTGGAATCAGAACCAGAATACTATGAGGAGGATGAAGCTTCTGATCATAGCAGAGAAACTGTGAGACGAGATCGAGGCCGAGGACATGGTCGATAATATGATTCTCTACGTCAGCAGCTGCGTCACATCAAAATCCAGTATCCTCCTTTCCATGGAACTAATGATCCCGAAACTTATCTAGATTGGGAAAGGAAGATGGAGTCTAATTTTCTGGTCCAAGGAACTTACGAGCTCAACAAGGTGAAGATCGCAGTGTCAGAATTTCATGGGTATGCGCTTTTATGGTGGGAGCAGTTGGGAGTCACCAGAAATCGCCTTAGAGAACTTCCAATTACTACTTGGGATCAGCTTGTTATACAGATGAGGAAGAGATTCGTTCCAGCCCATCATCAGCGCGAAATACTCAACAAGCTCAGGTGCCTCGTCCAAGGTACGAAGTCTGTTCGAGATTATTATCAGGAATTGGAAACTTTGCTCATTCGTGCAGAATTACGAGAAGGCGAAGAGATGGTAATGTCGAGATTTCTTGGAGGACTTAACCAAGAAATTCAAGACAAGGTGGAACTTCAGGATTTCACAGATATACAAGAGATGGTGCATACGGCTGAATTGGTGGAATCTCAAGTCAAGAGGCGAATCATCAAGTCTACGTTCACGCCTAGTGTACCTAAGCCTAAGGAGATCAGCAAGCCAGCTTACTCCAGAGACATCAAATCACCCTCTACTGGACTTAAAGAAGAATCTAAAGCTGAGTTCAAACCTAGGAGTGGTACCTCTATCAGCAATGTGAGGTGTTTCAAATGTCAAGGAATGGGACATTACTCTCGAGATTGTCCAAACAAGAAGGTATTCCTGTTACAAGAGGGAAGAGAGATAGTTCCTCAAGAGGATTCAGAGGCCGAATATGAATTAGAGGAAGAGGAAGAAGCTGCTGCCGTGGGCGAGATGCTGGTTGCCAGAAGGACTTTGAGTGTTCAGAGTCGACAACCTAGGATCAACCTGAAGAGACTTGTCAGCGAGAGAACCTGTTTCATACGAGATGCTTTATTAAAGAAAAAGTTTGTAGCCTGATCATAGATGGAGGAAGTTGTACTAATGCTGCAAGCGAAGAGATGGTTAAGAAGCTCCAGCTCAAGACTATTCCTCATCCAAGACCGTATAAGCTTCAGTGGTTGAATGACAGTGGAGCCTTGACTGTATCTCAGCAAGTTATGGTTTCTCTATCTATTGGGAAGTATGAAGATGATATTCTATGTGACGTCATTCCCATTGGTTCGAGTCATGTGTTGCTAGGCAGACCGTGGCAATCAGATCGTAGGGTGATACACGACGGTTACACCAACAAGCACTCATTCGAGTTCAAAGGTCGCAAAATTACCCTCCTACCTTTCACGCCTACCGAGATTTACCAAGATCAGATTCAGATGAAGCTCAAGGAGAAGGAGAAAGTCGCCAACAGCCTCTACATAAACGACAGTGTATTTTCTAAACTCTTTGATCCTGAAATGACTACTTTTATGTTTGTGTACAAGGAATCCCTTGTTTGTACTAACCCTTCACAGGAGCTTCCTAGTGCTATGTTTGAGATTTTTCAGGAATATAAGAACGTTTTTCCAGTAGAAATTCCACCAGGGCTACATCCAATTCGCGGGATAGAGCATCAGATTGACTTGGTACCAGGATCAGCCTTACCTAACAGGCCAGCATACCGAACCAATCCTGTAGAGACTAAGGAGCTGTAAAAGCAAGTGGAGGAGCTGATGAGCAAAGGCCATATCCGAGAAAGCTTGAGTCCATGTGCAGTTCCAGTTCTGTTAGTGCCAAAGAAGGATGGTTCCTGGAGGATGTGTGTAGACTGCCGAGCTATCAACAACATCACTGTGAAGTATCGGCATCCGATTCCGAGGCTAGATGATATGCTGGATGAGCTCTGTGGATCGACAATCTTCTCTAAGATAGACTTGAAGAGTGGGTATCATCAGATCAGAATGAAGGAAGGGGATGAGTGGAAGACGACATTCAAGACAAAGCAAGGACTCTACGAGTGGCTAGTTATGCCGTTTGGTCTCACCAATGCTCCCAGCACCTTCATGAGATTAATGAACCATGCCCTGAGACCAATCATTGGCGTGTTCGTAGTGGTTTATTTCGACGATATCCTCATCTACAGTAAAGGTTTGGAAGAACATCTAGATCACATCAGATCGGTTCTTGATGTTCTTCGCTCTCAATCTCTCTTTGCTAATTTATCTAAATGTTCATTCTGCACTAACGAAATTGTTTTCTTAGGCTTTGTAGTAAGTGCAGGAGGAGTTAAAGTATATGAAGAGAAGATAAAAGCTATCAAGGAGTGGCCAACCCCCAAGAATATTGGAGAAGTCCGAAGTTTCCATGGCTTAGCAGGATTCTACAGGCGTTTTGTTCGTGATTTCAGCACCATAGCCGCGCCCTTAACCGAAGTAATCAAGAAAGACGTGGGGTTCAAGTGGGAGAGGCGCAAGAACAGGCTTTTACAGCCCTTAAAGAGAAGCTAATCAATTCGCCCTTACTAGTACTTCCTGATTTTACTAAGACTTTTGAGATTGAATGCGATGCTTCTGGTGTAGGTATTGGAGCAGTTCTTATGCAGGATAAGAAGCCCGTCGCTTACTTCAGCGAAAAGTTAGGAGGATCAATGCTGAATTATCCCACGTATGACAAGGAGTTATACGCATTGGTTCGAGCTCTTCAGACGTGGCAGCATTACCTATGGCATTAGGAATTCGTCATTCATACCGATCACGAGTCTCTAAAGCACCTCAAGGGTCAGCAGAAGCTTAACAAAAGACATGAGCGATGGATGGAGTTCATTGAGACATTCCCCTACATTGTTAAGTACAAAAAAAGTAAAGATAATGTGGTCGCAGACGCATTATCCCGGAGGTACACTCTTATTTTGACTTTAACATCAAAGTTGATCAGATTTGAGCACATTATAGATCTCTATGAATCTGATACTGACTTTTCTGAGAGCTATGCCAAATGTCATAAGTTTGCCTGTGAGAAATTTTATAGACAGGATGGATACTTGTTCTTCAGTAACCAAT